AAGCACACCGGCACATCCGCAGACGCACTGCCTGCCGTTTTGCATACGACGCAAAATTATGGACTACATTCGCACTAGAGTTTGCCGTCTTCTCCTGCAACTAGCCCTCGCTCTAGCAGAAACAACAATTACAAGCATAAACAACTTTAAACTGTCAGCAGAGCAATAAAGTTTAAAACTGAGCAACAGCAGCATACAGAACGGAGAGGCACACACATACCGCCACACCTAATGCTAAGTAATTCCGAAACATTTGAAAGCGTATAGAAAGGGTTCCTTCGCGCATAGCATCACCTAAAATAAGGTTTCTTTTAATTGTGTTTCTTCCACACCGGGCAACGCGAGAAATATTTGGCGTTGCGGTCGGTCCGTTCCAATATTAACGCAACTGACTCCACCAACGCCGTGTGCCTGCTGTGCATTTACGCTAACAATTCCTCCTTAGAGTTACACGTCTAGTCGTTCTTCATCTCCGCCGGATCATGCGTATTTCCATGCTGTTCTTGGATTCAGTTGATGGCGTTGGGGCTGTAGCAAGCCTTTTATGTATTATTCATGTTATTGAACCTTGTTGTAGGCTGTATTCCTGCGGACACGAACACAAACACCAACAATAAAGCCTATAACACAATGAGATCTTGTGAGGGCAGCCACCGGAGAGGGGGGCAGACAAGTCGACGCAGGAGCAGAGAAAAAACAAAAATTATGACTTGCATAAACAAACTGTGCGAGCAGACAGAGCAGTCTGTACAGCAGAAAACCAGTGAGCAAAAGTTGGGCAGAACCGGCTGTATGATACCATACAGCACACCAGGAATTTAGAAGCGAAAATGTGAAATCAGATAAATAATAATTGTATTACTCTTTACCCAAAATTGCCTAATTTTTTTTTTAATTCTTTTGTTTCATTTCCAAAGTGGTAAACTACCTTTAAAGTTTCCATTTAAAGGGAAAAAAATATACTTTTTTAAAATAAAATGTGGACATGTATAATTATATGAACGCAAAACTTGGTCAGAATCATACGGAAATTGATCGGAATTAGTTTAGCCTGGTTTGGTAGATTTCCGATTTACCGAGTTTACAAGCAAACTACCAAAAAAGGCATTTAAGGAAGGAGTGTGTGAGTGCTGACCCTTCCAACGGCTCTTTGGTTTGTCCATAAAACAACAGACTAACATTGACTATTTTCTCGATGATTGTAGATTAAACGCGAAAATCACCAAAGGTCTAAAATTCCCAAACCCCAGTGGGAAAAAGAAGGAAAAGAGTCTATTTGGAGAAAGGTTCCTGGTGAAGTCGAGAGGTAGCTGGGTGGGAATATTATTCCAGCTGACAAGGGATCAGGATAGAGTTAGTCGGCGCCTGCGACGCTAAGGGCGCAACCTTAGTTCTCTTTAGAATGACAGCCAACGGCCACCAGTTGTGAAGGTAAATTAAATGTTGAAGCTGATCTTTGAAACAGAACGAACCTAGGCGGAAAATTCTATTTTCTCACTATTAGTACTGCATGGAATGATAATAGAATTTTCATTGGAGGCTAAATACGATATGATCATAAACTATCATATGACCTGAAAGAGGAACATCGAAACCAACAAGCAAAAAAGCTGAGTTCTTCGACTACAATTAAAACTTTTGGATGCCTTCAGAGAGCACTGCTGCTACTAAGTTATAGTGTTCCCACACCCTAGAATCTAACCAAATATAAGCCTGTAACAAACAAAAGCACCAAGACACAATACCTTGTTCCTCAGTGTCGTTTTGGGTATAAATGCATAGAGTGCGAGTATAAATAAGCACAGACATGGATGGATACGCGTGTGTTGTGTTGCAAGCATCGCCAGCATAAGCCCTCGCCTGGATATGTGAAGGTAATTCTACAAGTCATAATAGGATATTTGCAATGCAAATCCGAGATACTAAAACTACAAGGAGATCAACACACAAAGCACACTCTGCAGTTATCTGCTGCGAACAATGGTGGAAGGAAGAAGAGTTCTGCTGCGGCTGCTACGCTTGTACTGAATACCAAACAGCCCTATGTAACATTGATGTGAGCAATTGTCATAAATGTCATAAAATCTGCAAAAGGCATCTCCCTTTGCTCCGACCAGCACATAACGAACACACAAAAGCAAACATACCCATTCGAGTATTTGCAAACATTAATAACACTCGGTTTTTCCCAAAGATGCTCTAACCAATATGTCAAAATATAAATCAAGCCATTTGGTTCCTTCTGCAAGGCACAGGTCGGTATGCCACGACGATGCCGGCACCGACACTGGAAAATATAAGTTTCCAGGGTCAACACCACCTTCGAATAGACTTGCCCAATTACCGCCGGACAAATGGTAGCAACCAATCTTCACAGAACAAGGAATGATGCCGACTGAACTGAACTCCTGGATCCACACTAATATTTTCCGATTCCATATCGATTTCAAAGTCGATTTGTACAAACATTGCTTTATTTTTACAAATGGACACTGAAATCGCAAGAGGCAACATTTGTAGACTTCCTTCCCAGGTGCATGCTTAAAAAAGGGATGGAGGACTGACTAAATTCGAGTTACATGTCTGCTATTGGTGTGGCACAAGTGGCTGTGTATTAATCCATGTGCCCGTCACTTAATCGAGTAGTCAACGCCTATGCCCTGATGGCCGCTTGCCTAGCACTGATATCCTGCTGTAGCCAAAGTCACATTCGTTGGCAATCATCTTCATCATAAATGCCTGCAGTGTTTTTATTATTGAAATTAATTCATGCGCTAAGCACTGATGGTGGTGGTCGCATGTGTTGTATCGTATAAATTGTTGTTGCTTTGCCATTGTCCCATGATCTCTATCGTTCTCTCCAACAAGGAATCCAACTACATTAGCATGAGTGTTAGCTACGACTCTATCAAATCCAAATTATGCAATTTGATATTGTGCACACTTTGCAATAAGCGTAAATAAAGGACAAAAAGAAAGAGAGAGAAAATAGTCCATTTGCAATACCGATCAAGTATTTCCCAGTCAGTGAAACGATCGGACAGATAATTAAGGCGCAACAAACAATATTTATTACTCAACACTTGTACGGTAATACTGCGTCCCACAACAACAGGCGATATTTTAATCTTTCCATATGACACCGTGGAAAAGAAGCGGAAGACGTGGATTTTACTCAACACCTTCGTCACTTTCCACAGCAAGGTGAGCTTCTGTCTCAAGCCAAACCTTTGGAGGATAGACAGGTACTACTTTGCCAATGGAGATCACGTGCAGCATTTAGTAAGAGTTTATGAGCTTGTCCGGGCCGTTGTGAGCACGTCGCACATAAAACAACACGTTCTAACAGGAAAACAACAATAGACGCAACCAAATTAAAATTCAGTGTTGGGTTGCCTTATTTCGGTAAGCAGTACTATTCCCAAATACGCCGGGCACCAGACAAACAGTTCCCCCTTATCACATCATCAATTTATGCCGTGAGAGGGGGTGCAATCAAGAACTTTTGCCAAACAAACATAACTTGGGGAAAAAAGACATTGTGAAACATGTAAAACACACGTTATGCATTTCAATTCAGCTTGTCCGTGAACATGGTTTGTAATTCAGGCGCGTATTATCGTTTTTGAAACAAATTATAATGTCATTTTATACAGTTTGGAAGTGATACATTGCATTATTCGTTCACTTGGCTTAGACATTATAAAGGGCTTGTTTCACAAAATGTATCCCCCCAAAGGTGTTGCATCCAAAGGTGCAGTTCAATCACAAGATTAAGTGCCTTTGGATCGTATATTTTACAAGAATCTCTAATGATTTTGACAAGAACGTGGAAGAGGGAAAAAGTGAGAAACAGAAACCACAAAATGTTTGCTATTACAAAGGCTGGAAGAGAATAGATATTTTTATAGCACACATTTTGAGAGTTTCAGATCACTGCCTGAAAATAAAATGTTTTTAAATCGTTGTCCATATTATTGGCCACAAAATGTAGCTTAAATGTTATGACCGGAGCAAAACATGCAGTGAAAATACTATTTGAAATGACGTACTACCATTTTTTTCTAGGATGCAGTCTTATAAATAAATATAATGTGTGGAAGGAACTGCAGTCTAGAAGAAAACACGCAAATCACATATCCAGACAAATGTAAACAATGGACAAAGAGAAACTTTTTGTTCAACAATCGACTGTGCGTGCGAAAGCTCCCTTTCCTCCATCATTCGCATCACATATATCCAATCCAAACATTTTAGCTATAAATACTGAAAATTTAAATTCCAAAATTCACTATGTATTTTAGTAATATCGCACATCACAGTTTATGCGTAAAAAATATATTGCAGGAGTGTGGAGCACTCGAATGTAATTCACACATTGTGATATGCACTTTTCCAAACCAGATCCTTGTTGACAACTGCTTACATTGGTACCAATTTGTTAACACGCTTACTATCGCAAAAAAAAACTCCATTCGTTAGAAATTTTACAAGAAGGACACTCAACACGAAAGCAGCATTGTTGTAATGGAAGTAAAATTTGGTGATAATTTTAGGGTCGATCAAAAGTAATAAATGTAAACATTAAGGGACTATTTCTGTATGGCGTTACGTAAGCGAATGCAACCAAAAAATACCATTTCAAATATGGTTTTTAACATTTTGGTGTGAATAATTTTTAAGTCAAACATGTGGAATAGCGCATTTACATTCGTATTGTCACAGATGAACAGATGCCGTAAATAATTTACCCTAAATTTAAAGAGTGAATTAATTAATCATATTTTAAATTATAAAACTTCAAATATACATTTGTTTTATAGCTCTGTTGTTTACAAATTTATTAAATAATACTTGAGCAGGGTTCTGCACTTGTGCTAGATTGCTTTATCCTTGTTAATTCATAATCAGTTGAGTTCCTCAAAATGAGTTAAGTAGATTTCCCAAAACCTCAAATTGTTATCCTAAGGTAAATCTTTTCAGATTTTACAGATATAACATTATATGTTTGATCGACTCACCAATCAATATAGAAAAGTGTAGTGACGATTGTTTTATTTCAAAGTTTGTTTGACGATAAATATGTAAAATTTTATATGGTTTTTAGTTCTTAACTTATGATCTACATACATTCACTCCAACATATGTTTAAGAGTGGAGAAAAGCTTGACTAGCTTTCTATTCTACGAAGTTACAAGTGAATATAAAAAGAAAATTCAGTTGCTGTTTATGTTTAGGGTGGTTTTGAGAGGGCAAATGTAATTAAAAATCAAACATTTTAGTAATAGTTTGTATGTAAAACAAAAAATCGTTACCGAAAATAAGTTAAAAATATGAAATAAATCTTTGGAAAGAATTACATTTCTAATGTTTTATACATAAAAAAATATGTAAAGCATTTCTAATGTTTTATACATAAATATATTTTTTTGGTGGGCAAAATAAAATCTTTGGAATTCAGTTTAGACAACCTTAAATATAATCTTTGGATATTGTTTTTTTTTTTTTTTTTTTTTTTGGTTTTTTTTGGTTTTAACTAAAATCTAAGATCGTAGGATGCGAAAAATGGCAAGTATATATTCATAGGAAAATAATAAATCAAAATAAAAACTACGGCTTACAATATGGCACCTTAAGGTTCAAAATTGTTTAAAAAAAAATTCTCTCTTCATTTCTGTTTCATGTACTTAGAAACAATATTCTCCAAAATGTCATCCACTGTTCGGTTATCTTCCTTCAACTTTTGCATAACCTTTGAGGGCACAATCCAGTTGAGAAATTCGTCGACATTCAGACGCATTCTTTCCAGTTGCGTCAACTTCAAATCTTCAAAAGCTTTTCGGTTGGCTAATTTCAGTGCGGCTATTAAAACGTTATCGATAAGACGTTTTTCAAAACCTAACTGTTGTAATTTTCGTTCTGAAGATATTTTCTTCAACAAAATGGCCATTAGAAAACGGATGTGTGACAAGGTATTGGTCTCGTCTCCTTTAGTGCTTTGTTCTTCATCTCTACTGGTGTATTTTTTACAGTCACGCTGATGCGCTTCCAAATCCAGTTTGATTTTAAAAAAGTCACGGCAACCCTCACACATATAAGGTTTTGACTGCTTGTGTATTTTTTGCATGTGAGTCTTCAGGTGAGCAAGCTGCGAAAAAGCCACTTCATCATCTTTGCACAGCAGACAATTGAATGGCTTTTCCCCCGTATGCTTGCGTATATGTAGTTTCAAAACGCTGGAATGGGCAAAAGTCTGGCAACAAATCTAAAATATAATAAAACGCTGACTTAGACCTACATAGTACATTGTTATTCCTTACTGACCCTGCATTGGAATGGCCTCTCTCCGGTATGCATACGCATATGTACATTATATTGCGATTTCTGTGAAAACATCGAGTTGCAGTTTTCACAAACAAATGCTTTAACATTTGCGTGAGTTTTCATGTGAGCTTCCAAATCCTCCTCCTCGATGGGATTTTTACAAATGTCACAGTCCATTAACTTGTAGTGCATTCTGTAGATGTGAGCCCTCAACAGGACGTCGTTGGCGAAATGCTCTCTGCATATTTCACAGAAACAATCAGGCGTCTCATCATGACCCTGCATGTGAGCTTTTAAATTTGCCTGAGTTGAAAAGGGTGCCGAACATTTTTCACATCTATATTGTTTCGGTGCGTCCTGGTGATGACTAATCATGTGCTGATTCAGCTGAAAGTAAATGAAATTAGTGTCTTTGCTTGTATTAAACGGCAAGCCTATTCTAATTTTACCTGTCCCCCCCTAGCGAATCGTTTGTCACATAACGAGCACGCGTAGGGTTTTTCGCCCGTATGAATTCGCATATGCAAACGAAGTCTTTCTTTCAATGCGAATTTTTTTGGACATTCTTTGCAGGCAAACTCTTTCTGCTTATTGTGTGCCGATGTTATGTGATTTTTCAGGTTAATCTCCTGCCTGTACTTATTGCCACAAATTCTGCATTCGTAAGGCCTTTCTGCGGTGTGGATTAACTTGTGCCTACTAAGATCCGATTTACCACGGAACTCCTTTTGGCAGACGTCGCACACATAACTTTTTCGCGCACGTTTGGACGGAGTCACGTCCGATACGTCTGAATGATGTATCTGTTTTTCCGGCAACGTTCGTCTAAATTGCTCAAAGTCGGACTTAGAGCACGAGCTGCTTTCTTCGTTGTCGCTAATTGCCGCTTTCCCGATTTGATCTACTTGAATTACATCGGAATCTCCTTCGTCATCCGTTATGCATAGCTCTTCCAAAATGGCTTCCTCTTCGTCTTCGTTGAGATGCGAAAAGTGTTTCTGATTCGCCGGCGGCGACGATAGCGATATACCACTGTCTGCTAGCACAGACGAGGCATCCTCCTTTGAAAAGGATCGGCGGCTACGTACCATAGTTAATACAAATTACTCTGCTTACTTTCTTTACAATGTAGATTCAGGCGGAGACCAGCCACCGTTTGAGACCACAAAAAGCTTTCCAGTGAGTGTTAATTCTTTTATGTAAAGTTATCAAATTCTACTGGGGTTTCGCATTTAAATATAAACCAACACCATCCTAGATAGAAATATTGTTGTTATAGTTAACTTCAACTTTTAAAGTTACTGCAAAATAAAATGCTCGCATTAGAACAAACGTGAGAGCAGAGCGAAAATATTCGTGGAAATTTCTTTGTTGCTCCACACACATGCAACGACGGACTGTTATAAAGCTCGGAAACGTTTGTGACCAAATTGAATTTCAGATATTGAAATAACTATTTAGGTTTCTTTTTGATACAATTTTTTGAGACGTGAGGTTTTTTTAGATAAATTTTTATCTCATTTCTTCATTTGTTGTTCTTATTATTCCAAAGCAGTTGTGTCAACATTAAATGAAGTGTTTGCTGTAGCTCTCACCCATTTATTACAAATTGTTTCTTATGTCAGAGGAGGGCACTTTTCGGGTCGTTATCAAACTCGTTTCTATAGAATTCAAGCAGAGTTCCTCCCTCACTCCAAGGTGAAAAACTACTGATAATGACGGCAAATAAAGTTTGCTTCCTTAGTCTTTTGTTTGAAGATAACAGTGTGTTTGTTTTGCAGGCACAACAATTCACTTCTAAGCAATCCAATCCAAAGGTTTTGTACACATTACATGTAAATTTGGAATAAGGTCGGCGATAAGAACCTTAGATAGATATCAACGCCAAAGGTAACAACAAGAACTGTTCTCTCCAATTGAGTTTTTAGATATTCTTTAACTTAATAACCTCACCAAAACAACCATTTGCAACCGTTTGCATTATTTCAGAGTGTTCGCTTGCGACAACGTCTGTGTCGAAACTGATTTAATTATTGCCCCTATTCACAGACATACATGCATGCATATGTACGAGTATAAAGTATTGGATGAAATTCAAATTGAATGCGCTATATAAAAAAGTAGAACTCGCAACGCTTCAAAAACAAAAGGAAGGAGAAAAAGAGGAATCGTATGGAAATATGGCTGACTTTGAAAACGTTGCCGAAGTCAGCATATGATTACATTTGACAGAAGAGAATAGTGAGAACAAAGATCTAATTTGAGTAACATGTATTTAAAAAAAATCTGCCGAGGACAAAAAGTCTATGGAGTTCCCTACCGCTTTAGGGGTTGTAGACGAATAACACCAAGCAGACCAAGCAAATCGCTGTTCAATCAGAGGCACATATGCACAGCAGATGTTTGTGTTACGGGGACCGGGCAAAAATTTCCAATATTTGAAAAATAATAACATTGAACCCAATGCAACATAGCGAAGAACACTCCCAAACAGCACGCTTTAACTTTCATTGTTGACAAGACATGAACAATTAAATTCTGTGACTTGACAATAGGAATTGTTGTTTTATGTACGGTCGGTTAAACCCTCGCCCAGAAGCCGTAGCTCTTCAATTTTTTAGCCACATGATGACAATTCTTAATAGAGTAAAAGAAAATGTGTTTGGTTAATAAGCTGTAAGTATGTATATGCTATCAGTTATCAGGACTAGTGTACATATGTATGTAGTATGTAGGCATATATATCTATGTATTATTGAACTGTAGGTACATGCGATGTCTGTGCTTAACAAAAGTTTGTGTCACCAGTCTTTTGTTTTAAAGATTTCTTAGTAATAATAAAGAGACTAAATGCTACCAATTTAGGGAAAACTCAGGCAAAGGCATATCGTTCCGAAAATCACCATTTTATGAAGGAAAAGCATGCAAATACATACAAATTTCTTTTACCACCTCAATATGAAATTAAAATATTCTCTTACCGTTGTGTGCTGCAGCTGCATTGCTAGAATTATCGAACAAACACACCAGTATATCTCTCCACCAATATTGCTCTGCTTACATGGCATTACTGACTTCAAACAATTCAATTCAAAATCGTAAACTCCAGTTCAAGCAAACATGATTGATTCCAATTGATATTTTTTGGCAAGGGGGGGTTGGTTGTTTGCAATTCAACCCTCACTCAGCTGTTAAGAACGAAATGGATAAAGTGGGCAGAGTATTGTTTCCAAGTTCACTGCCTCTGCACACGGTGGTGTTACACACACTTTTATCAATATAATAATTAATATTTCTTGTATTTGTTATTTAATTACGTACCGACAATGACCACCCACCGAACAAATTTCCCGACTAGAATATTCGCCACAAAATTCTTCTGTCAAGGCGAAAATATTTATTTTCGCCTCAAGCATGAATTTTGACATTTCATCTGGTAATCGAATGAGCGCGTGGGAAACCAAAATGAAAGACGTCCCCAACGGAACAAATAAGAAATCAAAAAGAAATGCCCGATAAAAAAGAACGAGAAAGCAAAATCCCCGAGGGACCTCTGTTGTTTACGAATGAGTGGAATGCATAACCCGAGGGACCTCTGTTGTTTACGAATGAGACATGAGGAAATCGAACCGCTGGCCACATTCATTAAATGAACCGGGGGAGTAAGTTCCTTCAACTCCGAACAAATGTCCCAACTAGAATATTCGCCACAAAATTCTTCTGTCAAGGCGAAAATATTTATTTTCGCCTCAAGCATGAATTTTGACATTTCATCTGGTAAAATAACAGCTGTTTTTAGATTAATTCGCTCGAAGGAAGACCTTATAATTGGGCCATGATTGGGAATTTGCTTTCTGGTACGATACGATGGTATTTGGTATTTGCTTATAAACTGCATGCCATTGTGAATTAACGTTTTCGCCAGTGCCTCTTTTGCGATAACAGGGGCCACCATGAGTGGGCGAGGTTGACACTTGGAAAGGAGAGGCTATGTAATCGCATCACGTACCGACAATGACCACCCACTGCACATTTACCACGAACTAATTTCCCGATTAATCGATTAATCCCATTTAATCGATTAAATCTTACGGTGGAGCGGGAGAAACCAAACTACAAAGCTTAATTAAAATTATGACGCCGTCGAAATAAGAAAGTAATGTGGCGTTTCCACTGCACTTGATTCGCTCTCTATTCGTTGTTTGACCCTTAACTATGAAAAAACTACCTAATTCTTCACACAAAATTTCCTGAGCGAACACTCATATTTGTACGTTGTTCAAATCAAATCACTCTCAGAACAACGAAAAAATATGTCCCATCCCTAACAAATGAGAGCATTTATCGAAAAAATAAATTGTGACATTTAAAAATTAAAAATAGAAAAATTTTATGAAATTTTAAAAATTTTTGGGAAGACTGAAAATTATGAATTAAAACTACAATGTTGAATGGCGTATGTACATTCAAACGAAAGTAAATTTTGTTTTCTCTTTTATTCGAGGTACGCATTTTGTCCACGAGTTAAAATTTCCACAGAAAACGCAAACAAAAGAGGCAACATTTTCAAAATGTTTCTATCGGCAAAAAAAATGTTTGACAAGTGTCTCTCCAGCAGAATTTAAAAATGGAAAATCACAAAAATGTGTTCAAAATGTCAACATTTACACAAAAAGTTGAAATCGTGAATGAAAATTGTAAAATTAATGATATAATAAATCTTTGGGAGGAAAACAATAAATTCTTCTATTCATATTAGTGAGAATTTCATGTATTTTCGTATATATTCCCATTGAAATCAACAAACAAAATTTTTGAAAAAAGGAATTATTTTACTATGAATTACGAATCGAGCCGTATGAACGGGTTAATTCGTGTACCTAATTCTGAGAGCGAACAACGTTGTTCGGTTTTCAATGGAAACATGCTATAAGATACAATACATAAAATAAAAAATTATCGATTGTGAAATTATAGCATGGTCACACGGGCGTTTGAATATAAATTCACAAATCAATGAAATTCTTGTATTGTGGATGTACGGAAATTTGAGCCTGTGTTAAAAAAGTGAATCTAATGCTAGGAACACAATTGGAGCGAACGACGAATTTTTTCGCGGCTAATGTTCGTCGTCAAAAATAAAACACATATGTGTATATGGAAGTGCACACAATCACGGCACCGGCGAAAATTTCGTCGGTCGCCGAGAACTCAATTAGCTTTATTTCTATTTCATACGCCGGCGACCGGCGAACAAAACAGTACAAGGTGGCCATACTTGTACGAATTTTATGTGTTTTAGTAAATAAAGTTACTTTTTACTTTAAAATTTGTTATGGTCACTCTACTATCTGTTACTCGTATAAAAAAAACATAATTAATTTGTTTATTTATTTGTGTACTTGCGCCTGAGTGAAGATGGATATCAGTGAATTTATAATAGAGAAGATGGACATAAGTGAAATTATAATAGAGAACGTAAAGAATTATGTGTTCTTGTATAATTCATTGTAGTCAACAAATGTGCAAAAAGTAAACAACTTCATCAGCTGTTTTATAATTTCGTCGGTATTGTGTTCCATACGACGAATTTTCGCGGCTCATTTTGTCGCCGCGTAGGGCGAAATTCGTCGTTCGCTCCAATTGTGTTCCTAGCATAAGATGTTTGTAATATTGATATTCTTTACGAGTTTAACGCCTTTAAATTTTACCAATTTTGGTCAATAATATCAAAGATAGTTAAAGAATTATCTCATCAGAAAGTACACAGTAATTTTTACGATATAACCTATCAAAAATGTTATACGAGTTCTTTAAATCTCTAAATTGCAGTGCAGGAAGTCAATTGTTCCTACATTTGGAATTATTGTACCACGAGTATAGCCATTTCTTTCGATAATTACAAAAGAAAAAACTAACAATCGATAACCTCTTTTAAAGTATCTTATCGGTACTATCGACATTGGCATCGGTTGTTTGCCACCTCCACTGCACGCGACTTTTGGAAGATCTGACTTGGAAGCACTCTGGACACTGGACACTCTTGAAGAAAGTATGTTTGTCAAACAATCTTTTTTTGCCATATCCTAATAGAGTGATTACCACTTCCAGCGATTAGCAATGGCCGGTGTTTTGTTCGAAGACATCTTCAATGTTAAGGATATGGACCCAGAAGGCAAAAAATTTGATCGTGTCTCCAGATTACACTGCGAATCCGAATCCTTTAAAATGGACTTGATATTGGACATTAACTCGTGGTTATATCCCATGGAATTGGGAGATAAATTTCGTTTAGTTTTGGCGACCACGTTGCGTGAAGATGGGTGTCCAGATACTGGTGAATATAACCCCTTGGAAACTGAAGGTACCAGAGCTGATAGTTTTGAGTACGTGATGTTTGGCAAAACGTATCGCATAGAAGGCGACGAAGCACACAATGAAGCATCTTCCAGACTATCGGCATATGTTTCGTTCGGTGGCCTGTTGATGCGACTGCAAGGTGATGCCAATAATTTACATGGCTTCGAAGTGGACCAGCAAATGTATCTGCTGATGAAAAAATTAGCTTTCTGATTAAATATTAGTATTTACGTGTAGTGTGTATGAGATTCAATAAAGTAATATTTTTTGTTAGCTGATCTATTTGTACATAAAACTTGAAACTAGTCGTATTAATATACATTTACCCCCAATATACATTTAAACCCTGCATAGTGTTTAAATGTATGAAGGAACGTAGAATACATGAATTATTGTCGTAAAGGAACCCAATGTCAAGAGTTCAAAAGGTACGACTCCCTAGATTTTGAATCCAAAGTTTGAAAAGTAATATATGTTGTTTACGAATTTTACCTGAATCTTGGATTTATTTTGTGGGGTACAAGATCAGTTCCGAGCCGGATTACTAATCGGCAGTTCTTAACCCAATAAGTTCTAATATCCTAAGACAATTTAGGAGTTTTAATATTATGGGTGAAGACTATACCATCTTTAGTGTGTGTTATACTGATTATAGACAGAAATATGAAAGCCATTGGTGATTACAATAATTAATAATAGTTAGGTGTTAGGGTGATGGTAGCAGATCTTTATTAATGTCTCATGTCAACTATTGTTTGGAAGTCATCTCTGGGGCGAATGCTTGCCTAATTCTGCGCGTACGCAAACTTGTTAACTCTATTGTTAGGTATGTGTTTGGGTTGCACCGTAGTGATCGTGTAACACAGTATGTTATTAAGTTTCTTGGTCTGTCCTTTGACAGATATGTTGAATATCGCCTGCTTTTGTGTCATTACAGGAATGTGTCATTACAGAATGTGTCATTATGAGGAATGTTAATTCTCCTTTATATAATAACTTTGTGTTTTGTAGATCAGCTCGAAATCCGCAATTTCTGTTTCCAAGATTTTCGTCTGTAGTTGTGAGAGTTGCGAGATTGTGGAATCAACTCCCTCAATTTTACCTGTTCTTTTGATATGTACAGGAAGAGGTGTTTTGAATATTTGTCTGTTCATTTTGAATATTTGTTATTTGGTATTTGAAGTTCTAAATGGATACTACAGCCTAAGACAGAACATTATCTGTTCAGGTCCACGTCCTCGTATAGCCCCCATATAACGGTATCTCCCGATATTCGGTATTTTGATGATTTTAGCGACATAATTCACCGGAATTGTTTCAAATTTGGTATTTGAAGTTCGAAATGGATACTACAGACATAATGGAATTGTTTCAAATTTGGTATTTGAAGTTCGAAATGGATACTACAGCTTAAGACAGAAAATTATCTGTGCAGGTCCACGTCTTCGCATAGCCCCCATATAACGGTACCTCCCTATATTCGGTATTTTGACGAGTTTAGGTACAATACCCACCGAAATTGTTTGAGACGCGTATTTGAAGTTCGTAATGTATGCTAAAGCCTATGGCAGAATGATTATGATGATTTTTGCTACATTATTCACCGTTTATTTCAAGTTTTGAATTTGAATATGGTAATGACTTATGACAAACAATGCCCAAGTAGGTCCATGTCGTATAAACACCAATATAACGGCTATATTCGGTATTTTTAAAATGTTAACAAATTGTTTAAGGATTTTATCTCCAAATTCGTTCCAAAGGGTGGAGGGTATTCAAAGTTCGGCCCGGGCGAACTTACTGCTTTTCAACTTGTTGTTATTTATTTTTAGTTATTGGCTGAGGGCAATTTTTATGGTATATAAATGTATAGACTAAAAAGTTGTCTCAACTGTTATCTTCGAAAAAAGTGCTTCAATAGATGTCGTTCATGCCATGAGAGAGCATAAGACAATTCACTATTCAAATAAATATTACAATTATTTATTATTATTTATCAATTGAAAACCAGTAAAGAAAGTCCTATAGTCGGGTGGCGCCGACTTTATGATACCCTACACCACTTGGCTAATTTAGTAGAGCTCCACATAACAAGTTTTTATGGGAGAATTTAATCATACACGCTATGATTATAATTATAATTTAAAGTTCAAAGGACTAAATATGCCGAAGCATTTGTATCTTTTAAATTCGGACTTGTATTGCCCATTTGGTGCAAAATTAATTTGAAATCAGATTAACCGATCTCGATAAAATTTAGCAAAGGTATTTCTGAGCTGCATTTGATATATTTTCCCAAATATTATTACAGAGTGCATACTACGGCTGCGGAGGACAAAAATAACAAATCGGATGAACAATATATATGGGAGCTATAGCTATATCTCAATCGATTTCGATCAAATTTGGCATACTTATTTTCAGCCCTATTTTAATGGAAGTGCAAAATTCCTTACTATTCGGGCTGATATATGGGAGCTATAGCTATATCTCAATCGATTTCGATCAAATTTGGCATACTTATTTTCAGCCCTATTTTAATGGAAGTGCAAAATTCCATACTACTCGGGCTGATATTACAAGTTTGGTGCACAATTAAAGGCAAATCGAATGAAGATACATATATGGGAGCTATATCTAAATTTTTACCAATTATTTCCAATTTCAATAGGGTTCGTCCTTTGGCCAAACAAATGCGACCTGCATTTTGTTCACAAGATTACATGGGCAGGCGGACTGACATGCATAAATCAACTCAGAAAGTGATTCTATGGAGATCCTTAAAAGTAACTATGGGTCTATCTCGCTTCCTTCTCCATGTTACAAACAAATGCACAAAGACATAATAACCTTACCACTATGTGGTGTAGGGTATAATGAAACAGTGACTTTGTTTACATTTACATTACCCAACTATGTCGTGGAATATAAAAATATAGACCTTGAATAGCAGAAAAATGAATAAATTGTTTTCGAATCGAGTGACTTCACTAGCCCTGAGTGACTTTACTGGCCCATGATCAACCATAGTGACATCTGCCGGAAGGGGTAAATTTTAAAACTTTTTAGTCTATACATTTATTTGTCTATGCTTGTAGTAGCTGCAGCGCTTGAGTTTATTGATGCCTCTTGTCTTTTTCCTCTCTACCTTGCTTAACTGTAGTTCATCTTGGTAGAGGAGTTGTGTCTGAGGGTCTAATTACTAAATTGCTACTAAATTTAAATTATTATTATTATTTTTTGTATATATATTACTATTTGGTGATTATTTTTGTTATTTATTTTTTTAGATTAATAAGCTCTTTTTATACTGTTGTATGTAAATATAAGATTTTGGTCATGTTGGCTTATTTATATTGAATTGTATGAAAATAAATGAAATGTTTACAATAAAGTTTTTCATTACAGTAAAATGCTCATGTTTGATTTATGCTCTGATCCGAGACCTGTAAGAACCTATATACAATACATTAATTTTGAAAGTTTTGTCGTGCGTAAAGATACAAGGATTTTTTTCTTAAAAAAATTCAATGCAGTGCCAACTTGTAATGTTCCCATTGTGGGAGAGGTCAGTATTACTGTACAAGACGTCAATTATTTAGTAGGGATCTAATGAAATTGTCATTGGTACTTGTATGCGGAATGTAGTTAATATTGAAGGAGGAACAAGTATTTTTTTTTTTTTTTTTAAATTTGTTTTTGGTGTATTGTCTTTGAAAATGTCAGTACTTAAAGAGTATTTTCTGTCCAATATAGATGCGGAAGTAAAATATAACTCTGATTCAGTACAATTTGTCTTGTTGATAATAAAGCAATGTATGTTTGTGAGCTAGCGTTGTTGCACTTATTAAATAACTGAATAATTTGAAATTTAGAATTTTGCATGAAACAATATATTCTTTTACATTTAGTTCAATTTCCGAAAATAGTGATCAAATTGTAAAATAGTGAAAATAAATTGTAACAAGCTTTAAAGATCTATTTGACTGAATAAAACTCTATACAGTTGTATTTTTTTCTATTTTCATCGGAAATAAATTACCGTTAAGATTGTGCCATGTGAAGTGTGAGCTTTCCCGCCTTTAAAATGAACAAAAAAGAATTCTTTAGTTAGGCATGTAAGGTTGTTGAAATTAGCTTTGTAAATCTGTGCACATGGACAAATTTAACTCAGTTCAAAAATTCAGCACAAACATTTAACCAATAGGGCTAATCGAAAAGCTTTCAAGTTTGAAATTCATCTAAATTAAGGAATTGTATAAAATACAACTACAATGCAATACAAGTAATAATGCAGTTAAGTTGAATTGCTCGCAAAAAATCAAAAATTTTGACAATCCATACAATTCCGATATGGAATTGCTTCAATAAATACATGTCTGTGATTAAACTAATACTGTCCCTGATTAGTTGGCTAGGCCATTATGTGACATAAATTTAATAGTGAAATTTCCTTGGCCCTGATCATTTGAATTATTTAATGGTACCAATGGCAATGTCTTAGCCTGTAAATTCATTTCATAAAAATCCTTATTTATTTTAAGCAGAGCCAAATAATTTAATATTCCCAATTAGATGGTACATAACAAGTTTTTACAAGAAGGAGAAAATCTTATAACAAGTTTGTATAACACCATTCTGTAACACAGTCAGTTTTAAATAGGACTTTTCCGTATCCATCAGCAATATATAATTGAATTGTATATTATTGCTTTAAACGAATACATTTGTTTGCCGCCGCTGTCCGCATTTTGATTGTTTACGATTTTATAAACAAGTTTTGCTTAGTTTTCTTCATCATTTCTTAGGATGGGTGGATCCATTGAACAAACACAAATATATGCGAACATCGAGCTGTTTGATTTACGCACACATTCACAGACATATGTTTACACGTTCGGTTTAAGTCCAAGAGGATGGAAAGAAAACTGTTTTCTTATTTCCATGCCCACCCCAAACATTTCTTTGCAGTAGATGCAAACCTAACAACAGAATAGAACAAGTGAAATGTTTACAAGGTGTGAAGAAATGTATTAAACAAAAAAGGTATATATTTAGATTTTATTGTATACAATTTAAATTAGTAATTGTTGGGAAGGCACAACGCACGATATAACTACATACAGTGAACACATTGGTCTTTCTTTCTAAATCTACGTTCGCTCCGGCCGCATAATATCCCTGGAATACTTTCTTTGTGGGTTCTGAGGCATAATTTCAAACTTCTACGTTTCCTAAAGCAATAACTTTGATACATATAAACTGTTTGTCAAATATGGAAATTCTTAATAGTAATTATTGC